GTGGAGGTGGAGGATGAGAAATTCTCTTTTTGCTCTTTCTACTCGGTCCTTATTTTTATCCCCCGTATCTTTTGTTTTGCTCTTACATGTAATGGCAAGTGAACCTTTTTTCTAGTGTATGTAACTTTATTTTTAACAGTAGGAAAAGGGGAGGGGAAAGTAAACCAATACCATGAGAGCTACTTACCTACAAGCTACAAAAGTAGGCACAAACGGCATGCGTGCTCGAACACATTTTTCTTTATGAAAGAAACTGTAATCCACGAGTGCCTTTTCCGGGGACAAAGAATGTTTATATATTGGGAAACCTTTCGGAATAAACTACGTGTATGAAAGATTAAAATTAATGCGGTAAATTTTGTATTTTATGTAATTTGGTCTAAATATCAAATAACATGTAAAAGTTAGATCCTTTTCTTAATATTAATATAGACGTTTGCCACTCGCAAAATATACAACAGACATGCGAGTTTTCAATTACGCAATTCAGGACAACCCAACTTATTTAAGAGTTATTGTTGTCCTCAATCATATTAAGAGATCAGGTCCAAATCTTTAGGTAATGAGCCAACAAATATTCTAAGGTTGCAGCAGAACTGTCAATCCACGTCCCAGTTAGGTGAACGACATATCAACAACTCAACCTACAAAATTTCTGAGCAATTGAACTTCTCAATGGGTAAGAAAAACAAAGGAACCCCGCACTATCAACCAGCCCATGCTTTTGTGCCTGTAAGCTAGTTTGGTATACCAGCAAGTTTACATAAATAAGTTAAATGACATAGAGGTTTCTTGGAATCTAAGATTTCAACATGTTTAATATGTCATGTATTTTTTCAACAAGTGTTCCCAACTAAACTAGCATAAAATATAAGATCCCACCAGATATTTTGGTAAGAAAATCGATCACGTACTTACCAATAAATATTGCCAGCAAATGATAAGTATAACTAAGATCCAACTAGATAATGAAGCCAATAGTCATGGAGGAATACTTCTCTATTTTGGCAAAAACAGAACTTCCTTTTCCTTGAAGTTAAAGTACAATATTTCTACATATTCATTATGGTCATTGAGAATTTTTACAAAAAGAGAAGTCACCAGCACTCAATTTTTTTTGAAAGCAGTTTTGCAATTGATTAGTAGGTTCACCAGAGCAAAATACCTTTTGGGCAGCTGGGCCAAGATTACTGTTCTACTTTTGTTGTTGCAGATTAAATAGCAATCCTCTTTCTTAGAATCGAATTACTTACGATACAAGTTTGGAAGTTGATAGTAGCATTTCACCATATACATATAATGATATATAACACCTAAAAAAGACATAACTGTTGGCTAAAGTATAGCCCCCACAGGTAAATGGTACGTGAAATTTATTAGTCCTCAGCAAACTACGCGTTTTAATACTATACAATTTTGATTTTGACACTTTATAATATCTGAAGTTCAACAAGAGAAAAACTTGTCATCTCTAATAGCGTTTTGAGATCCTTGGCATGGTGCACTTTTGCTTGCGGTCATGGTACAGCCTCAATACAACTGCTGCAGTCTCTTCTATGGCTTTTCCGGTCACATCTGTAATCAGATAAAAAATCAAGACATCATAAGCATTAGTTTGACGCTTAATATTTTCCAACCCCCTTTCATGAGTTAATGTAACATCAAAGATGACAGAAATAATAACTTAGGTAGAATAAATCTTTTACCAATGACAGGCCAAAGAGGGTTTTGAGCAAAGAGCCTTCTTGCAAATTCAAGTTCCTCCCTAACATAATCCATCTCGGAGTAATTACTCCTACCATCTGAACTTAATCCCATGGTTTTAGTCCTTGCTCTTCTAATATTCTGTAAGACAAGAGGATTTATAGTCAAGCCAAAAACCTTCATTGGATCCACCTCAAACAGAGTCTTTGGCATTGGCACACCCATGACGATGGGCACATTGGCCACCCTGTACCCCTTCTGAGCCAGATAAATGGACAAGGGGGTTTTGCCGGTGCGCGAAACACCGGTGAGAACAATGTCAGCCTTGGCCAGATTCTGGGGAGATGCCCCATCATCTTGCTTGATGGTAAACTCAACAGCTTCAATCCTACGAAAGTAATCATCAGAGAGGGGAAGGCCAGAAGCCCCACGAGGAAGCCCAGAGGGAGAAACGCCCAAATGAGAAGCAATGGCCTCTGTAATGGGTCCCAACACATCAGTGGAAGGCACACCCCATAATTTGCATGCCCTCTTTGCAGCTGAAGCCAATGATGGATCAGCCAAAGTATACACAAGCAAAGCACCTTCTTTAGCTGCTTGCTTTGTAATCTCCAACAACTTCTCCGCATCATCAATCTCATCATCAAGAGCAACAATTTAAACATTTAATAAGTAACTAAACAAAAATTGAAACTATATAGCATATACGTTGAGGAATATAATGTAAAGATATTCAGTGCAAAGACATCATTCAATCGTAATTATTATGCATGATATTTTTATTTTACTACAAGGTCATAGGTATCCTTTGTGAATCAAAAAAAGATCATAGGTATCCTTTGTCAGAACCAGAAGAAGCATTCCTACCGGAACTTTTCTTCTTACTTTGTCATGTACTTGATCGCTTGGTTGTAATGGTCATTTATGGTATGATTCTTCACGTGTAATAAGTTTTTTAAAAATTATATCTAACATAATTTCTAATCAGTTGGGTAATGTAAATGCAAAAACTAAACTCAAACTGAGATGATTAAAATTAGTTTATTTAATTTAATCAAATACAATAGCCCCATTTTATACCGGATAACAATATAATTCATTTATCCATTATCCCGTCCAATATACTTTCTTAACTTTTTTATCAAATAAATATAAAATCTCATTTTCAACAACGAAATAGTAACAAAAAAAGGAACAACCACCAAGTAAATTTTGTAAACGTTATAATTATAAAGTATAATTAAATTTAAGACATGTTAATTATACGGATAACCGAATAATAAAGACAAAAAGTCAGTGAAACGATAAAGAAAAAAAAAAGAGGAAAAGAGAATATTTTAAAAATAAAAATTAATTAATTTGTAAAATATACTTTAATGGATGAATCATATATCTATCTAACGAATTTGGTGAATTGGATTTTGAAATAAATTTTTAGGAATTAAAAAAAAAATGAATAGATTGTTGCAGAATGTAGATACATCTTTGTGGTGGGTCTAATATTATATGATGTTTGTATATGCTTACCCCAGAAAACAAATGGGTACTGACGGGGCAGCCACGGTCGACCAAGCAGTAATCGAACTGACCCAAAGCGGCGTTAATGCAGTGTTCGGCGGTCCAGCCAGTTCCGTCGGAGACCATATAGATCGACTTAGCCAACCTCACATCCGCCCCGTCAACACTCACGCCCTCGTCTGCCTCCACCGGGAGAGGAACTGGACGTGGAGGAGAGTTCGGTGCTGCCGGTTGACTTCGGAGATTCGACCGCTCCAATTTCTGACCCGACCGTACGGCTCGAGCTCTCGACCACCGGTTCAGTTGAGGGCTCACCTTCGGTCTTCCTGAACCGGAATTCGATCCGTTCCGGCTGCACGCTCCGATTTGACCAACGGAACTTATGTTTGGACATAACCGCGAAATTGCCATGGCTACCGGTGCTTTCGTTTTCTTCTTTTTGATAGATTTTTATGTTATACTTGTACTTATATTTGTCATTTATTATTTTACTTTCATTAATTTATCACTTTTTTTTTCTTTTATATATAATTCATGGCCACAATCTTATGTGTCTAATTTTTGACATTAACCGTCCAACTTTGATATTCGGTGCATTTTCCAGTTAGATTTGATTTGTTGTTAGAAGTTGGATGTCAAGAATACTTGGAGCTTCACGTCAGATTCGTGAGCCAGAGACGAGCACACTTGCACAGCCACAGATAGTTTTGTTTCGGGTTGATGATATATACACCTCCTTTCTTGTACAAGTACATTTCCTTTTAAAAAAAATAATTAAAATTTTAA